CCTTTTCGATATTCATCTTCGGGGTCGAAGTAAATCTGAGGAGAAGCACTATTATCGTTCAAAACGTGATTTGTTTTAGTATATCGGAGTGGTAGATCACCCACATAGACACGGTGTTAGAGATGGACACAATAAACGCTGTTCCGACTCCCCGTTTGGACGTTGGAGAAAATGAATTTGCAGCCCAGCTCCTGGACAATTCCATGCGCATTGTGAGGATTGTTCTTCAAGCTCTTACCTACAACTCACATTACCAGAGGAAACAAACTATACAATCCGCCGACGACCAAAAATAGTGCAAAATACGCGGCACCGACACTCTTTTGCACCGAGGTAGCTAAGATGATATATCCCACCAATGAGATGATGCAGGATACGACAATGTGCCATCCTCGCTCTCGAGTTCTATCACTATGCCAGGCTTGAAGTACAACCATTCCCCAACCGACGACGTAGGGCGCTACAGTCAGTCCCTGGGCGTTTATCGCAGTGAAGCCGAGTTCGTTGATTAGCTGCAGCTGTTTGAATTTTCCAAAGATCAAGAGCCACTAGTAGTTACAAGACACACCGTAGGAAGGAAGTAACTTATAGTAGCTGCCATCCTCGACAGTCAATAACTATCAGCGCACCAGCAAACATATCTCACCTACTCCAACATTGACTAGAGAAGATTAGAACCACCATTGAGCGTCAGTTCTAGCTATATGACCCTAACTCACAGCTAGCATAGATGGACATGAACATCCAAGCATTGGGATCGATGATTATTGCCTTCAGTCCTTGCCACCCTGTCATTCCACCATGAGATTGAGGTTTATGGTCGCGATTAACACGAGCTTGAGCGATAGCTTTTTCGCGCGGGGTGAGGAATGTTGCGGCAAAGGGGAAAGAGGGAAGAAAGAACAGAGTGACGAAGGACATGATTATCGTTGGGACGGCTTCAATCTAGGTCAAAAGGCTCAGAGGTACTTCTAGATGATGAATAGCTTCGCACGAGATAAAGGAATTGCCATCTAGAAAGGGAGGCGATTAACCTCGATGACTTAGGAGAAACCGTTGGCTGAGCAGCTCACCCGATCAACAGAGAAGTCTTAGCTCGGACAAGACCGAAAGCAAGTAGACCCTGAGGACATAAGTCTGGACTTCATCGGCGTGATCTTATTTGAACTTACCCCAACAGCCCCAGAATAAGTCGCCGTCAGACAAAGACTTGATTAGAAATATCTTTAACTAATCGTCATCTCGGGATGTAAGTTGGCCCACCTGATTCGCGTCGCGAGTTCGTGTCTAGATAAAAGCAATAGTAAAGATTTCGGAAAATTCTAGGAGTCCGACTAGAACGTAGCATACCGTTTATACCAGAATGACAAGTAATATATCACACCGGCGTAAAATCCTGCTTCACCTATTCCAAGCAGTACACTATTCAATCGAAGAAACGTCAAGATAATAGTTGCATGAGTAGTGAATAACGCACCGCAGAGCAAGGAGAGCCCCATATCCTTTCGCATATACGATTGAAAGGGAAGATAGACCCCAGAAGAATAAGGAGAGAAAGAAGCTGTGTTAGATCGACGGTAAATAAGGAAGATACCAGACGTTGTAAACACTTGACATACAACCGATTAGCTCCGATGTGCCTTTGAAGCACTGAGGGCGGTATAAGCAATCAGTGGTACCTGAAAAGGTGTGGAGAGGAATCACCATTGGCGGGTATTTCCAAGAGGCCTAAGGTATGCGTCTCGATCAATTGTTCTACGATTCCCAAAGGCAAAGTTGCGCACAGTAGCCCACGTAGAAAATACTTAACGCTAATGTCCATTTGTTGTTGTTGGTAATTCCCTATGGTTTCCCGAATGAGTCCATGGACTGACCTCGGCGAAATCCAGCGACTCACAAAATTCTCATTGAAAGCGGGAATAATGTGTGCATTTCCACTGCATTTTTTGTTCACGATTAGAGGCATCCCAATGAGGATCAGATTATTGCGAATACTTGCATGTTTGTCCGGTCTGTTAGTAAAGGAGTTAAACCTCGATTACACCTCATGTGAGCCACGATACGAACCGAATTGATTGACTATGTGGTGGACGACTACGATCAGCTATGTAACCAGCACAGGTTCAAGTATCAATACGTACAAAGGAAGCTATAGATCGGAATGCGGTGAGCACAAACATGATAATAGGTAAAGAATTATATAAGGTCTCTGTACCTGCAGATGATCAACGGAAGGACCCTGTTGTCAATCTTCCTTTTGATTCGATACTACAATCCATACACCGATAGTGATGAACAGTGGCAGTGAAACATGCTCTGAAAAAACCGAAACATACGTCTTCCTCTGCAGTAAACGCCACCCCTTCCGCGTCAAGATTTACAGCTTGAGCATGGTTGGAATCCAAAGCTGAGAAGAAATGTCGTCTCCTTGTTTTGGGATCGAGTTGACTTTGATAAAAACCACCGGCCTGATGATCCACAGTGGCATGAACCAAAGCGGAGGAAGACTCTGAGAGTCGCTTCTCCACATCGATCTCTTGGGACTCTCCTGGCATAGTAGTGGAGGATATTCAGAGAAAGCTGTCATGGATGTATCACCTACTGTTCTTATTCGTATTCAATGGAGGTCCGTTTCGGTCACAGGAGGAGCGTTCCGTATAAGGCCTGGTGTATTTTTGGGCTTTGAATAGAAAGCGGTAAAGTCATCTGAGCTGCTTCAAGGTCATGTAATACCATTGGCATGAGAGAATTCATCTCGAAATGTCAATGAAAGGTTGAGCTGTGGGACTAGGTAAAGCACCGTTATCTTAATACTGTACACTCCCAAAATGAAATCAACACTGGTGGTGCAGAAACTTGCCATTGACGCCTGAAAAGTGCAATACTGCAATGAAGCTTTGGCAGATAATTATGGCTGATATTTGAGTTATTGCATGCAGAGAAGATTACCGCTACAATCAGGTAGATGTTCCAGGATTACCTTTCAAAGAACCGGAGAGACGCTTCAGTATGATGAGCGTCCGTATTCAGAAGGTCAAAGCTGTCGGACTTAGAGTATCGGCATACGGAAGCCGACGGACATATGGGTTGTATTTGTTTGTGCTGGCGACCATTTGTCTTTTGACCATCATTTAACAGAAGGCTAGCCTTGCCTTCTTAACTCCTCGTCTCACTCTGCTCTTCTTCTCTGTCGTTTGTCATTCAAAATGGGACAATGGTCCGTATATATCCCCTTTAATCTCGAACTCCATTCATTCTACGTCCCACAGGACTCTGGCTCGTTACGACGAGGTCTTCAACTCCAAAATTAAAAGCCTGGTGTATGTCTAACTCATCTTATCCTTACCGACGACAATCTTAAGATATTCTACCCACGTGGCGCCCATGATTAGTTCTGGGGCAATCAAAAGATCCAAGCTGGAAAAGGCAGAGCCGCAAATCAGTTTCAAGGATTTTGTGGAAGAATTGGATGTGGGAGACTCATTTACGACTTCCCTGGTGGATATCCTGGTGAAGGTGCGACTTTGCGCCCTAAAAATCGGCCCTAGAGTTTGACGTTGGTGCAGGAACTGGCTGATAGACGAACCCGTACAACTGCGGACGACCGCCGTCTGATATCAGAAAAAACCGCAAAAAGCCTGCGGACTATTACCGGCCCTAATAGAGTCTACTTCTCGTCCAGATATCGCCGCATGAGCACGGGTAGAGGTCATCTTCCCATGTATCTCACCCATCCTCCCGAGGAAATGGAGATGGATGACGACGAAGAAGAGTTTGATTCGATTCTAGACACAGATCCTAGTTTGACAAGAGTCGCTACGGATTCATCGACCGTCACCATCGGTGGCGGTACCACTATGATTCCTTTCAGGTCGACGAGTCCAGCCCCGCTCACGCCATCTGACGAGGCTCCACCTTCCGTGCCTTTCTCTCGTTCTTGGATTCCTCCGCGCTCACATATCACTTCTGGTCATAGCCTGAATCGTTCATCTTCCATCCGCCGCCCAACGAGGTCCCGCACCGTGGATTTCAACGACTTTACTTCTCGGAGACGATCCACCATCAGGAACAATTCCGACACAAGCGGAGGTTCAAATGAGTCCTCGACTAACCCTGACTTTAGGGACAGGGATCACATATGGGTCCCTCCCTCTGGGACACGTCGGTTCTTTGCAGGTCTCAGGCATCGCCGAGCAGATACCGACAGCCTTTGGACCAATTTTACTACGGATGACCTAGCTCCCGATTCAGCATCGAGGAGGAGCGGTAGCGACCTTAGTGTAGAGGCTGAAGGCAGCCTCGTGGATTCCTCCAGCGCGACAAGCCTAGATCTCGTTCCGAGGCTTCGTAGGGGTGGCTTGCGGGCCCCCGAGTCGTTATTGTCAAGACAGGTGTCTCCGTCCGAATCGATGGTGCCTACTGGCGACACCGATTCGAGGCGTGCACCCTCTCCCCCCGAAATCTCAGAGTTCATTTTGGACTCTCCTCGTTTTCGCAGTATCCCTATACAAGAACCAGAGGGTGGTGCTACATTCGGTGTTGAAGTTACTTCGTACCCAACGCCAGAGACTACTTTTGACAGTGAAAATGCTACATAGAATGGTTTGTAATTTGGTTTCGAAATCTTGGACGATGGTGTATGAGTAGTGTACTCTTTGAAGATTGTAGCTTTATCTATCTATTCTTGTCGCCCTTCTTGTGCTGATTAATTTTGGGCCTTGTTTGTTTTCTCTTTTACTTCTTCGCTACTTATCGGAATTCAAAAGCAAGGCCCGCCTTCCACTTGTTGGTCTGGGGTAAAACTGGAGTTTTCTGCGATGTTGTTGACTTACTTGCGATACATAGCTTTCACCTTCACCTCTTGACATTGACTTGCTTGAAATATGTCTGTGTGTGAGAACCTCCCAAGTAAACCAACTACATACTGGCAGTTGTGAATTAATGTATCCACCACTGGTCTGGCGGAAAAAAAAAATGAAAATAGTAAAAGATAAAGTTGATGCCTCCTAGCCGGATTGAACGACTGACCTTTCCATCAAGAGCTCCTGCCTACGAGTGGAACGCTCTACCACTGAGCTAAGAAGGCTTAACATTCCCTCACCCTGGTGAGAATAAATCCCTAATTTAATCAGCAGCTGAGGGTTAATTTGATATTAGTGACCGTTTTCTAGAAAACGCGTATCAGCCGTACGCGTAGGGAAACTGAAAGAGGCGCAGTTTGAGTGTTTTAAATAAAAGAAAAAAATCTCGTATCCGCATACAACACGAATGCCTCCTAGCCGGATTGAACGACTGACCTTTGCATTGACCGAGGGTACAAGTGCAACGCTCTACCACTGAGCTAAGAAGGCGTTATTATCTGAATGGACAATCACTTCCACATCAGGCTTTCCGTTGAATAAAAAGTACTCACGCCTTCATCTTCATTTCACCTTCATCCATAGAGACCTTCAAAATGTCTACCATTCTCCCAACTGCCGCTATACAATCAATGACATCTACTCATCCGACCCCGCCTGCCTTTCAAAATCCGATCATGAAACCTGCTGTTCACCTCCCAAAACACACTTTGTTGGAATCCCCTAATTCGCGTTCGATTCTCATTGGATCTTGGCGAATCACCGCCACGACACATCCAATTTCGAATTCCACGGAATGCGATCAGTTACAGGCAGAGTTGAGCAGAGCTAGTAATGGTGCTAAGGCTGAGGGCGTGACCTTACCTTTGCCGGAGATGACTTTTGGTAATAACACGCTCAAATTGGAGTATAGAGCTGACGGGAAATTTGAGAGCAAGAGCGCGGAAGCTGATAGCGACGTTGAAGATGAAGACGAAGGCAAACATAACTCGGAAAGAAGAAGAGGGAGAAGTGACTGGGTGTATCAGTTTGATACCCTGCACGCCTTGCTTGGTGTCAAAACGGGCGAACTGGAGCCAGGAGATGGAGGTGTAAAGGTGAACTATGCAGAGGAATGGATGAAAAATCGCACTGGTCCCTCAGCGCTACTTCCGATGCCCAAAACAGTGCCGACGAAACCTTACGATTGGACGTATACAACAACTTATCGGGGACATTCATCATCTGATCATGCTCAATCTCTTTCTTCATCCATGGCATCGATGGCTTTGAATTCCGATTCTGGTCTCTCTCTTTCTACTCAGGCGTCATCCTCAGGACGTTCTGAATGGCACCCTTCATCAACGTCGTCCTCCCATAATCACACGACAATACCCATGGCGGAACTGACTCGTCCCGATCCGATCCTCTTCTACGCCGAAGTTCCTTTATTCGAAGATGAGTTGCACGATAATGGAAGCAGCGCCCTAGTTGTAAGGATACGCGTAATGCCGACATGCATATTCAT